CCGCGCCTAGCGCGGTATACTTAAACTTTGAACCAAAACTATTTTCTGTCACTTGCAAAAACCAGGGCGGATACCCTTGTAAGGGTATTCGCACCGACACCGTTACAGTTCGAAAAACACGTCTTAAAGAGTTCGAACTCGAACGACTCCTACAAATTCGTGTAATTGAAACGTTGTAACAGAATTAAGTTAAATACAAAAAAGTCTGGACGGCTGAACCGTAATACTTTTGTAGTTCTTTGATTCCTCTCAGGGCAGGCAAAATCATCTGGATGGTTGAGTCGAAATGTTTTTTAGTTCTAACAATTTGTTTCTTGGACTTTCAGCTTTTGCTTATGAGTTCTACACATTTGTTCTTCAATATTTGCCACAAAATTGGCGGTTTGTTGGATTTGTGTCGTTGCAACAGGCTTGATTTAGATATGGGATTTGAATGAGGTTCTTGCTGATTTATAGCCCTATAAATTTCTCCTCGGCCAACACGCGCGGTGTTGTTGACCAGAAACAGTAATTCTGGTATCCACGAGTCTTGCACGTGTTTGCTTACGTTGCTCTTTGCGCTACTTGTGAACAGAAACATACGAGAGAGCGTTGACGAAGCACCTGATGATGCAGGAAGCGGAAAGGTCCAGACTCTACAAACACTGTCACAAGGCTTCTAACGAATCCGGGGAGTACGTATGTTTAATTATTGACGGAATGGACCAGAGCAAGACTCTTTTACCGCACTTCCGCAGATTGCCGAAGGATTCCAGAGTCAAAGAAGAAAGCTTTGTCAAGGTGCGCGTTGTCGGTGCGAAGGTGCTAGGTCTCGCCACAAAAGCATCTGCAACACTCTTTTTTGACAACTTCAAGTCAGATTCGAACTGCATGCTTACTGTGCTTCATCGAAGAATTTGTGAACTTCCGATACCTTTCCCACGAGTTCTCTATCTCAATCTAGACAACACAACGAAAGAAAACAAAAAAAAATACGTAGTTTCGTATTTATTCTACCTTGTGAAAATTAACATTTTCACGAAGGTGAAGTTGAACTTTCTTCTCGTCGGACATACTGACGAGGATATCGATCAGATGTTTAGTTGTTTCTCTCGCAGGCTCAATTTGCAGAGTGCGTTTGATCTTCCTGAACTTAAACACGTTATTCGCGAATCGTACACAAACGAAGTTGGAAAGGCAGTAGTTCTTGAGCGGATGACCGAGACTTACGACTGGAAGGAATTTGTAGAACCACATTTGTTGAAGGTGAAGGACATCAGTTTCAACCAGCATTTCAGGATCAAAAGAAAGTACAGAGGAGAAGTACGACTCTGGAGCAAGCAGTACCACAATTCGTTTTGGCAGCCGAACGACACCGAAGGTTTGAATCTCTTTTATTCAGAGCCAACAAGCGAGATTCTGGCTGCTCCTCGACATTCGATACGGTCTTTGGAAGGTCGGTTGAGGCCAGCTTGTGGCAAAGAAGAAGGGGATGGTACGGAACTGGAAGGAGACAGTGAAGAATGTGTACAACGCACTCTGTTAATTAATACATTGAACGCTAATCTCGATGCGTTCTCCAGATACATTCAAACCGATAACGTCATTCGGTGGAAATATTTCATCGAATGTCAAAAAAATATGGATTTCAATGACAGGAGCCTGAAGGTTCCTTTCTTCAGGCCGACAGTGCCGTTGGAAGGGCCTTGCGAGGACAGCGCGAAGCCTCTAGATGAAGATAAGATTTCTCGGAATTTGGCTCACCTCTTTCCACAAGAAAGACCAGTGTATAATGGTGCGTGGAAGACCAAACAATACAAAATGGAAAGAGAGGGACACTACGAGGACTTGGAGATCGGAAAGTTCATTGCACACCGAGACAAACCCTACCACGTAGGCAAGGTTGTGGAGTTACTTCCAGAAGAGCATTTCAAGGTTGCTTGGTATGCTCAAAAGGAAAAAGGAGAAGCGTACTTACCGTTCTACAAGCCGAATGTGAGAGGAAAGTCTAGACGTGAGGTCGCCGAAGACATTTTTGATCGGAGTTGTGGCGTTCTGTGTTACAACTTTACTCTGAAGACAGACAACACTCTGTTCGCCGCCACAAAGAAAAAGATCTGCGAAATGTTGAACGCTTCGATTTTCGTCGACGTTAGAGACGGCGAAGAAGAGGCTGGTGCCCTTATAAAGGTGTAGCTCGAAGGCCTTCGACATGTCCTCCTGTTGAGATGGTCCTCTTCAAAGGGCATAGGCCGCACCACCGTACATGGAAGTTGTTTGTCCTTCGTCTTGTTGGCTCTTGTATTGTAAGCAATTTAAAATTCTGAACTTATAGGACTATAATTGAAATTGGAAATTTGATTTCTCCTGTGTCTTCTGGGGTCAACGTCTACAAGTCTATTCGGGAAAATTGTTTCTGCTTCGTCTTGTCCGGTCTTGTATGTTAAGTAGTTTAGAGTACGAGTTTTTTCGAAGTAGTCCGAGTTTCGATTTATAGGACTATAATAGAATTACGGAATTCGTTTTCCCTTTTATCTTGCGGAGTCTCAAATGTGAAAGATCTTTCCAGACGTTCAAAGTCAACCAAATTTCGGTTTCTGCATTGTAAGCAGTTCAGTGTACGTTTTTTGCATGGTAGTCCCGCTGTTGAACTTATAGGACTATAATTCGAATTTGCGATTTCGTTTCTGGCAAGTCATATTCGGTCTCTGTATTGTAGGCAGTTCAGGGTACGGGTTTTCTAGGGCAGTTCCGCTATTGAACTTATAGGACTATAATTGCAATTGGAGATTTGGTTTCTCGTAAGTCTTATGGAGTCTCACATTTTCAGAGTGGTTGGGGCAATGTTATTTTTGTACGCTCTCGAATGTCTTGAAAAAACGCTGCCAGCAACCCCATTTTGTCGGGGTATGTCAAGCTACGCGTTATAGGACTATAAACTTGAAGATTGATGTCTCGAGTTCGCTGACTCTTTTTGGTAGTGTTCGGAGATGTTCCTCCCAATAGTTTTTTTTCTTCTGCATTTGGCGAGCCTGTGACAGTCTTTTTTTGAAGCATGTATTTTCCAAATTTTCTCTTTAATGACTTTCATTTATAGGACTATAAATGAAACAGGGAAAAGTCTGCGGTTTCTTGGAACTCGGTGTAGTTTTGCATCACTGGAAATTTCGTCGGGTGTTGGACACTGTGTTTTCCCTTGAACTTTTTCCCTCCGAACTTGCCCCGCTAAAATGAACGTCTGCGGACTAATTTCTTGCTCAAGGTTAACATTTTCCTCACGAAAGCTACGGATTCTCGTTGTTTTCGGTATCCCTTGTTGTAGAGTAGCTGAATAAACCGCTCGCTCTAACGGCAAAGAAATACAAAATTATGTTGCAAGACATCCTATAATGAATTGTTAGGTTTTCTCCGATTGTGAGGTTTTCACTAATCCCCTGTTTAAGGGGTAAGCATCTTCAATCATGATGTCATTCAATTTCTGGTAATCAATGCAAATGCGAATCGACCCATTCTTTTAGGGGACTATAACGACAAAAAAAGACCATGGACCCGTGGTGGGCTCAATCCAACCGTTTGCTTCAAACTTTCGGATACGCTCTAGTGTTGTTTTCTTTCTGCAAGCGAATATCGAATTGGTTTGCAATGTATAGTTGGTTGCGCTCCAGTCTGGATTTCATGCTGAATTACTAGGGACATCCCAATCTTTGCATCGTTGACGCTAATCGCCCCTTCGTATTCCATCAGAATGTCCGCAATTAGCTCGTGTATTTCGTCAGACACACATTCAGGCATGTGGAGTTCGTAAGGCTGTCCGTGAATTGTAGCTTCTACTTGCTTAGTGTGAACAATCCTGAAGTCTTTTGGTAGGGGAGACGAGATAAACGGATTATCCGATTGCCAAGAGAATACCGTAGCCACCATCTGGGCATCCTCTTCTTCGATTGCCATGTGGCCTTCTAGGGTGATTCCGTCCTCGATGTCCCGAGGATCTACCGGTTTTTCGGTCAACTTTATTCCAATTTCAAAGAGAGAGGTGTCAAATCGCTCAAGGTTCCGAAGCTTAAAGCTCGACACCTTTATGTAACAGGCGAATTTCATTTCTTGTTGTGAGCAAGGATCGGGGAGGTAGCCTCGTGACATCGCAAAAAGACCGTTTGTTCAGATAACGTGGGAGCAAAAGAGTGGTCACTTCGTACAGGGTTCAAGGAGGTTCCCAAGAATCGGGCATCTTTGATACCTGTACCAGTGGTTCTCCTAGGACTAGCGCCCCTGCCCGCTGCAATTTTGCTTTTCTGAGGATGAAAGTTCTCGTTGTCTTCTGCTGAATCAGATAATGAGTTAGTCAGCGCACGAACTCCTGAATCGTAGGATCCACTTCCTCTTCACTTTCAGACTCCATAAGAGGTGAGGTCGCAGGTTCCTCGCCCACTGTGTCTGATTAATCCGTTAATTTTTCCCATGTGATAATTCGGAACAACCCCACCGCTCCCGAGTGGATTCTTTAGGTGTTTTTTGTTGATGTTCTCAGGATGAGGCGCATGAGAATCATAAATGGCTTTCCCCCCATATTTTTAAGAACCACCGTGATTACTTGCCGTTCGAAGTCTAGGTTGGCTTGCAAGGCATTAAGAGCTGGCAGTCCAACAAAAACGTCGGATGAATTTACACTAAGCACTACCACATCCCCGAAGGCATGGACCTTCCCCATCCGAAAGGCAACATTGACCATTCTTCCTACCGCCCGGATTTTTTCCTCATCCACGAAGATAAGACGATCGCTCTCGTTTAGTGGGATCAGATCTCCCTTCCTTCCCACCCTTTCTACCACTCGCAGGGATATGGCTAGTACGGCTGCCCAAGAATCGAGAATCGCGTTGTAGGGAACTCCCCAAATTTCTATGTTGCATTCCGCAGATTTCCATGGAATAGCTCTGATGCGTAGGAAATGATCATCTTTTTCGATTAATCCCCAACGTACCAGGTCTGAAGTGATGGGTGCTTCGACTTTTAGTTCCTTGGCAGGAACCTTTCCTTTAATGACTGCGAGTTTCGCGAGGAAAATGTGCTTCCGGTTAGCCTTACAGTGCTGCATCATACGGTCGTTAGCTTGCTCAGATATGAATAGGAGATGTCCAATCGGAAGAGGAATGCAGTGATCCAAGGCTCACACTATATCACATCAATTTCTCTTGTGACGAAAGTGGGGCCTTCAGATTTCATTTCGTTCCGGGATGGTCTCCACTTTGAGACCTCCCGATCTTTGCTCAGGGGGTGAATGACTCCTATCATTCCCAACCCAGATATCCTAACGAAATGAATTGGTGAAGTGGAATAAGTTCTGCCGCTTCCTCTGTGGCGACAGTCGTAGTTATCACCCCACCGACTTCTTCCATCATTGTCCCTATTCGCCCATGTCCTTTAGAAATTGGGGCTGCAGCTGCGGGGGCCGCTCCCATTCGGACCTGAGCAGGTTGATTGGGGCAACCTCGGGCCATGTGATCAGGCTGGTGACACGTGTGACATCCATCCCCCCTGGCTCAGGGTGAGGCACCTCCTACCGCTGAGCTCCTGAGGGAAGAGGCAAGGTGTGAACTGTAATGGGGCGTATGGAGCGCATCAGTTTTTCTATGCGGTTATTGTGCTCATGTTGCTCTTTCTTGCTTTCCTGCATCAGGGTTACTAACATTCATCATAGACGGGTTAGGGCTCAAGTCAGAAAGTGGTCTTTTGGTGGCCATCTGCTCCAGGTAGGTGACTGGGCCGGACATAAATCCCATATTTTTGAATTTGTCCTGTAGTGCAGCTAATTCCGCCTTCGCCTGAGCTAATTCGCTAAAAATTGTCGGGCGTGGCGGTCCCACACCCAGACGTAAAATACTTTAGTGTCGGGCCTCAGGTCGCATCACGCAAAAATCGTTTCGATAGAATACCACTCCGACCATGCACGCCAGTTATACCTCTCGTGGCTCCCTACAACATGACAAAGATCCCGCGAGGTACAACTCACCTCTACCTGAGGGGTTGTCACCACCCTTAGGTAAACGTGTCCCTAATGAACTACCAACCCACGTGCGAAAGTTTTTACTTGCAATTGCAGAGGTGATTCAACCGAGGGTGTTTGCTCCATCACTGTAGTATAGGCGTACGCGTGGTTAAACGCCTAAGACTGACCCGTATAAGTGTCGCACAACGCGGTGCTGATCTCCCGGACCGACTTACAAATTAGGTCGACTCGACTGACGAACGTTCGCGCATACTATGCTATGCGTATAAATAGTTCCAATATGTATGACTCACAACTTAGCTCTTCTAAGGAGCATGATCCCCTCAACGCTTGAATTATCAAGGGTTACACATAAAACATATACCCATCCTTCGCATTGATTAAATTCATTCAACATATCTTTTTATGAAAACCCTTTGCAATATGATACATACGTGTGAAATGAAATAAGACAACGAGTACTTAGGTAAGGAGATGTCACGTACATTTAACACATTTACATAAACAGTCTGAATTCATCAGGGAAAGCATAGGTCATTGACCTCTCAGACATTTATAGATTAAATCCACATGAAATAAGGTTTGTCGCCTTAACAATAATCCTAATCTACTTAACATCAAGGAAAAACACAAGGCAAGATACTCAAACCAAATGTATAAATATCACGCATTCATAAAACATCTTGATCAAGGCCCAGGATAGCGTAAGTTTCTCAATGGGTTGCCATGAATAGTGTGACCGATCGTTTTACTGTCTTCTACACGATCCGCCACGAAGCGCATCATACTGAGTCCGCAACATGGGGAACGCGACGACACAAGGGCACACTCAACAAGTCGGGCGGATGAACGACCCAACCTCGTGATGCCATCGGCGGATGCATCACACATCTGCAAGTCTCTACCCTCGCATATGGTAAGTAGCGGGTGCAGGGCCGATCTTATGATGTGATATTGTTGGTGTCAATCATCGCAAGAGGATGAGTGAGGGTGAATGCAACGATCCACAAGCCAGCACCACGGTAGAGGAAAGCCCCGACAACCGCAACCGTCCCTTACAAACTGGAAACCACGTAAGGCATGCATAGAGAGTCCCTCGTAGCTCAAGTACAAGGGCCCATAACCCACGCCTGAAACTTCGTCATCATCAACTGCAAGGGCGAGGTAAGTATCCTCTCCTTGCTATGCTCTGCCTTTTGCAGCTTCTCGAACTTTCGCTACGTGGCACCGCAGTACTGAGAGGCGTCATCCTACCCCCGCGACCTCGGTCGAATTTGTAGCCATAATGAGCTACTAAATTGAATTGGCCTTGGTTGCGGAGGTAGATTCATTCAAGTGGTTCTTCAAAGCGTAGCTAAGGAAACAAAAGGAAAATAAATAATAAGAAACAAAAAAATCTCGTTGTGCCAACTGTGACAGTCACAACAGTCTCTAACTGTAACATATCCCGATTTCCAGGTCACGAGTTCAAGCCCCTGTCTTCCGAAGTCGGGTTTAAAAGCACCAGCTCCCTTATAGCAGAAAAGACTAGTAGCTCAAGGGTT